GAGGCAGAGATGGCGGGGATCGCCTGCTGGGGGTGGGGGAGCCTGCCGGGGGGTTCCAGGAGCTGCAGGGGGGCACAGGATGCAGCCTGGTGAGGGGAGGCGGGAGGGAGATGGAGATGGCGTGGGTGGCCTGCCAGGGAGTGGGGGCACGAGTGCCGTGGGGAAGCTGGCCTGTCGGGGTGCCAGGAGCTGTGGGGGGAGCCAAGATGCTTGCTTCCGACTGCTGTTCACCCCTCCCCCAGGTACAGGCTTCGTGTCTGAGGAGCACTTAAAGGACCAGTTTTCTTTTTTTTTGCTTTTCCCAGCGGAGATGGAGATGGCGTGGGTGGCCTGCCAGGGAGTGGGGGCACGAGTGCCGTGGGGAAGCTGGCCTGTCGGGGTGCCAGGAGCTGTGGGGGGAGCCAAGATGCTTGCTTCCGACTGCTGTTCACCCCTCCCCCAGGTACAGGCTTCGTGTCTGAGGAGCACTTAAAGGACCAGTTTTCTTTTTTTTTGCTTTTCCCAGCATCAAAATTTTCCAGTTTCTACAATTTTCCGGATACTTAAGTTCCAGATAGTGCAGGTTTTAGTGTATATCCCTAATCTAGATAAAACTGAATACTGCCTTGAGTATAGGGGACTAGACTAAACTGCATGAAGTCCCTTCCAGTCCTACAGTTCTATAATTCTGTGTTTTATGTATATTTCTGTGAGTTGTCTAGCACCAGTAATTTCCAGGAGGCACTTGCAGAATCAGGTCCTTAAATATATAAACCTGTTAGGAGATTTTGAGTGTTCTTTGTCCTGACCCATGATCTGAACCTACCACCCTTACTCAGTTGAGTAGTGCCACAGAAATGGAGCTCAGTGAATAGTGAGGTATGCAGTCTTTTGTATGCATTTAGAGAAAACTAAGCAAATAATAAGCACATACTTCCATTCAAGTGCTGAGTCATAGTTTGTTGGCTTGGTTTTTCAGCAGTTGCATCCACATGTAGCTGTAAGATGGGAAAAAAATGTCAATTTGCAGTACCATAGAGGAACCGATTCAAATTCTGGAGGAAGTGGAATTAAGGAAGAGACATGGTGAGTTCTGTTTGTTACTTCAATTGTAATTACAAAGAAATAAATTCCTTCAGATTCCGCCCACTAAAAGTTCTGTCAAAGGAGACACCTCCAGGATTAAAACTGGGACTGAGTTTTTCTTAGCTACCAAAAAGCCATCCATCCAATTAAGAGACTTCCATGAAACAGACTCATTGTCAGATACAGAACTGACAAGATATCTACTATGGGGGTAGGTCTAGACTGCAAGCTTCTTTCGAAAGAAGCTCCTTCGAAGAGAGCATCAGTACCTCAAAGTCGGATCGAAAAAGCATGGATGCTCTCTTGAAAGAAAGCCCTGATTGCTAGTCAGTCACAGAATGGCCACCAGGGCAACTGTGCTTTTTTCAATTGCCTCTTCTTTTGAAAAATGTCCCTGTTCTGTGTCCATACATGCCTTTCGAAAAAGAGCTCTTTCGAAAAAGGCATTCTTCCTTGTAATTTGAGATTTACCAATGTCGAAAAACTCCCTGTGTTCTTTTGATTTAATTTCAAAAGAACGCAATTGCAATGTTGACACAGGTGAAGTTTTTTTGAAAAAAGGGCAGTTTTTTCAAAAAAACAGTGTAGTCTAGACATACCCTGAGAGTTTCATAAGGAGTCTGAATCTGTCATGCAGAATATCTGTCCCTCTGCGATCTGTGCTCACCAGCCAAGAGGTGAAACAGGTAAGAATCGATGGGATAAATGATATCTCAGCACCTTAAAATGTTTTTAAAAGCTTTTAAATTACTTTTTTTTAACCTGCACACAAATATCTATTTATAAATATAACGTGTTATGGAAACTTCAGTATATTGGAAGGGACAGTGCCAAGTGAGTTAGCTATAAACTGTCAAATTGATTAAGGAGCTAGTTTCAATGTCACAGCTTAGTGAAGTTTTTTTTATTCCAAATAACATAAGCAAAATGTTTAAAGTCCCATTCTATTTTTCTGAAGTGCCATTAGCACCATTGGTAAAAGTTATTGTTTTTGTTTGTTTGTTTTGGCCCCTTTAAAATACAATTAAATAAGTATATTTTTTATTAATGTGCATATTTTTGTTTGTATCGTTAGTAAGGGCCAAATCCTGGTCTCTGTGCATATTCTGATCCAAATCTTAAAGGAAGTACTTCTGTTGACTTCCATAGATATTGGATCAATCCTGTAATGTAGGTGGTAGAAAATAGAATCTTCCCTCTAAAACCAGTGGCAAAGCACAGAGCACCTGTGCAGCCCTTCAGTAGCAGCAGTACTCCAGTCTATGCAGTTCCTTTGACCTGGTGAAGTAGGCTCTACTTTGTTCTTCTTAGCTCTCTGCACCTGGTATTTCCAGGCATCAGAGTCAATGGCAAAATGAGTCAATGGCAGAGCTGGGAATGTGCTCTCCTAGAATGTCTTCATAAGGTTAAACCAGCTAGGAAAAATCATGTTACACTAACCTGTTAGTTTTTTTGGAAAAAAATAATCAAAGTGTAAGTAAAGGTGACCCTGTTAATGAAGGTGATCCAAATCCCTTTGTTAAGGAATAAATGACCAGACAATAAATGGGAAAGATTTGGCATGGGTTAAAAACATGCAACATAGTCATGTGAGTCACTGCACTTTAGAATGGAGACAAGGTAATTGTTGGGTAGCCAAGGAATTGATAATGGGAACATTTGTGTCCAAAATGGAGGTGTCAAGTATCTTCAATTCTCCTCTGATCATCTGATTGATCTACAGAGTATAATTCTATATGATTATAATTCTGTAATCTATATGATTATAATAGTCTATAATTCTATATGAGAAAGGTATAATGCAAAGTTTTTTTTGGCGTGTCTGTGGAAATGCTCAGCACCTTGTGGTATCGGTTCTAAAGCATTGGTGGTGCCATAATGGGCCTAACTCATACACTTGAAATCTAGGCCATTGGAAAATCAGTGTGCTAGTTCTGTGGTAAGGTGTGAGCCTTAGGCTACATCTACACAGAGGAGCTTATGCTGGTATGGCCCCTTTGTGTAGACACAGCCTACCCCAGCATAAGTCTTTCTGAGAGTGTAGGAGCACCACCTTCTTATATGAAGTTATTTATGTCAACACAAACAACTACTCCAGTTTTTGTAAACAAACCTATATTATTTTTTCACATTCTAATCTACATAGCTATGTTTATATAACTTTAAAGTATAGACTGTGCATCCCAAAGCTCTTGGTATTTTGTAAACTGCTAACATTATACATTTCTATATTTATTAATCTAGATTTGTTTGTTATATCTTGTAACAATTTCCTGTAGGTTTTTCCCAAAATCAGTTTCTGAAATTTATAACTCAAGGAGATGGGAGGAGCGAAGGATGGTGCAGTCAGAATGGGCAAGTGAGTAAACAGCAATGTTGATTGAACTAACATGTTTGCAAAACATTAGACATTCCAGTGATTTTTTTTTCCGTCGTGAAAAAGCTTAATGCTGATGTTGGGAGGTCCCAGAATTCCCCCATATTGTCCTGCATTTAGACTATCTTACATCCTGTGTGCCACTCTCCTATCACCCTCTACTACAGGGGTTCCCTGCAGCTCTCCCTGCTCTTCCCTTTGTTTGGGGTTCTGTGTGTCCCTTTGCTCCTTCTTCCATGCCAGGGTCTCCAATTCTCTCTACACCCTTCAATAATTCTACTTTCTGTGTGGGAGATAAATCATACAGGGGTGTCAAACTGCTAGACCAGGCATGGGGAACCTTTTTTGGGTTGGGGTCCTAAGGCCCACAGAAAAATCAGCCACAAGCAAATAAGAAGCAGAAAAAAAAAGACACTCACCTCACTTGGGATGGCAGCCCTCACACTCCAGACCATGGGGGGAGCCAAGGCTCAGGGCTCCCCCAGGACCGGACCTAGAATATTTAATGAACCTTGCCTAGGTGCTGGCATTGGGTCAAAAATGAGGGATTCAGTATGTGTGATGGGCTGCCAGGGAATGGGGTGGGGATGCAGGGTTTGGGTGGGATGGGGAGGGCAGTAGCTACCTGGGAGTGGGTGGTTTGGACAAAAGTGTAGGGCTACAGATGAAGGCTGGAGTAAGGGGGTCTGGGCAGGATGGCGGTATGCAGGAGTGGGCTGGAGATGCAGGGTCTGGATGGGAGAGGGTGCAGAAGGGGGCTGCTGGAGAGTGGATTGGGAGTGCGGGTGCAGGGTCTAGGCAGGAGGAGGGTGTGCAGGGTCTGGGAGGGAGGGAGAGGTCAAGGGATGGGGGCGCTTACCTGGTGCAGCTCCTGGGGGGCACAAGTGTTTCTGCACTGGCAGGCACTACCCCCCTGCTACTCCCTTGTGAGTTATTGCAACAGCTAAAAGGCAGTAGAAAATGAGTAACAGAAAGTTGCTATTACTAGAGCTTGACCCATTAAAATATTCCGTGGTGAATGTGTCTGTAGAGAAGTTTCTCCTTCAGTTTCTGCAGGATTTAAGCTTTTATTAAAGCAGAATTTGGTTTCTGACCAGTCTGATTGTAAAGTAAACACTTTTGGCTGTGACGCTGCAGTCTGTAGCCAGCCTGAAGCCACAGAGGGGAGGAGCTGACTGTCCACATTGTGGGTGAGTTCTGTAGGAGAATGCTGATTGACCCTAGTGTTCTGAGAAGGTGAACCTTGAGTATGTACTTTGCGTCTAGCTGAAGTGAAACAAATGGCTAAAAGAGCGGCGTCTGGGCAGCTGGGACTTCTCCCTCCATATCCACCGAGTGAATGCACTTCAGAGAGCGAGGCAGAAAGCATGAAGGAAGCCTTTCCACATGTAACCTTCAGGGGCCAGGAAAGTGCTGGCTGGCAGAGAAGGGATGGCAGGTGGCACGCAGGCGATGGAACTGAAACCTGGGATCTGAGCAGGAAGATGGACGAGTCGGAGGAGAGTGACTTGGAGTCTGTTTTGAGACCTTTTGTAGGTAATGCTCATGGAATTGGGCTTCCTGCCTTTCCAGACAGATTGTTATGGCCACAGATGGGGTGGCACAGGGATATTGGAGCTTATTTGACTTTCGGAGATTATTTTGACTTTCCCATTAAGCCAGTGCGGGGGTTCTTAAGCCTCACACAGAGGCTCAGGGGCTCGGAGCTACAGCAGGGAGCTACATGCTTCTCCCCAAGCCCCAAAGCTGCTGCTGCTGGAGGAGAGGTGCTCCTCCCCTGTCTCTAGAACGGAGTTGTGACTGTCCAGAGAGAGGGGCCCCTCTCCAATGGCCCCAGCTAGCACAGCTCTGTGCTGGGACCAGTGGGGAAGTGCTCAGTGCAGCATGTCTGGTTTTTTGGCATGGGTCCCCAAGTCTCTACATGTTGCCTTAATCCTGAGCACTGGGTGGTGATTGCGAGTGAGAGCAATTGTGGAGCCTCATGCTCTCCCCCAGGAGCCGGACCTTTTGTCCAGTTCTGGGAAACAGTGCAGTGCCACAGAACAGGCAGGCATCCAGCAGCCTGCCTTAGTGCCACTGACCAAGAGCCTCCCAGGTAAGCCCGAGCCCAACTCCTCCCTCTCCTCCTGAGTCTCCCCCAATCTGGAACCACCTCCTGCACTCAAAACCCTCTTTCCTGCTTTCATCCCAAAGTGCACATCCCCAGTCCAAGGCCTGCACTCCAAACCCTAGACCTGAGCCCCTCCCCAAACTTGGAGCCTCCTCTTACATCTCAAACCCATCATCCCCAGGTATACCCCAGAGCACTTACCCCCTTTTGAACCCCAACCTCCTGCCTCAACCTGCTTCCCCCTCTTGTATTCCGGATCCCTCAACCCCACCCCCTAGCCTTGAACTCCCTTTTGCCCCTCAAACTCCTCATCCCCAGCCCTATTCAAGAGCCCTCACCCCCTCCTGTCCCCAAACCACCTACCCCAGCCTGGAGCCCCCATTTAGAGCTCTCACCCCAACCCTTTGCCATACTAGGTGTGTGTAGAATGACACGTTATATGATCTATCACCTCCGTATTGGTGCACATCACAAAAGTCATTTCACACACGGACATAAAAAATTAGAGGGAACACTGACCGTAGCTATATCCTCACCTTGTAAGTGGATTTAGCTACTGCTAAATGTGGTGTGGGGACATTAGCAGGCACACACACATGCGTGCACATGTGCGCACGCCACTGGCCACTACTAAGTTTACAAACAAATTATAGGAATCAATATCTAATTGACTATGGACTCCCACTTGAAAGCTCTGTCCCTGAAATCTTATGAAATCTGGTTCATGGCTTGATCCACCTGCTATATGTCTCACTGTAAACTCATGTCCCTCATGTCACACTAGGGCTACCTCCAGACTGCATCCCTCTGTCGGTAGAGGGATGCAAATCAAGCACTTTGAAAGTGCAAATGAGCCCAGGATTTAAATATCCCGGGATTAATTTGCATACTCACGTTCAGGCACTGTGCCAATCACGGACCCTTTCAAAAGTGAAAGTAACTCCATTTTTTGAGGAGTACAGGATCCGCTGTGGCTAGACTTTACCTTCACTTTCAAAGAGCGCGTGATTGACACAGGTGCTAGCTTCAATACTAATTTGTGGCTAATTGAGATTTTTTTAAATGACTCATTCGTGACATGTACATGGATTCCATTTTGAAGAATGTTTTCAGGACAATTCTTAGTGAAGATTCACATGTCTGGATTTAGTCGTGGGTGTCATTACCTTTCCATTCCCAATAGATCAGGTAGCTTTACTGCCATTCATAAATTTATTCTTATTTATATTCCATCAGTTGCACAAAGTATTCAAGCCACATTATCCTTTGCATAAGAATTATGTTCCATTCTGATATGCTTCAATTTATTAGGCAGAAGTTGGCAGTCCCTAGCAAAAGATGAGCAAGCGGAGTATGGAGCAAACCTTCCTAAGAATTCAATCAGTCCAACAAAAGCCGAGGATACCTGTTGTGTACGTACAGTAATCCAAGAAATGTAATTAGTATTAATAATGTATGCCAGTTTTGTGACAGGATGATTATATACTTGTTTTGTCCATGTTGATTACTGAAAAATGAAGGCAACCATCATAGCTGATTTTTTAGCTATGAGTTCCCTAGGGGTGCGTCTAGACTACATGGCTCCGTCGACGGAGTTATGTAAAGTAGTTTACTCGACATAGTCAATGAAGCTGGGATTTAAATAATCCCCGCTTCATTAAAATAAAAATGGCTGCCGCGCTGTACTGACTATCAGTTGAACGGACCAGCGCGGCAGTCTAGATGTGGCGTGGTCGACAAAGGCATCTTACCTCCTCCTCAGATGCTTGGGGAAAGAGATGGGCCTTGCAGCACAAACAAGATCTCTTTTACAACATGTCTGGGAGGTTTAACAGCACATTGGAACAATTGGATGAAGGAACTGAATAAAAGGTCCAGGGCAATTTAGTTAATGCCAACTGTATGTAATTATGCAGCTTGATATGTTGCCAGAGTTTGACACTTATTCCAACAAAAATGCTATTGGCTATTTTAATGCCCATAAGAGGTCTGAAAAATAGTCCCTCTGGCAGCACAGCACTCTCTGACACTACTTCAGGCATCAGGACTGATTCAGGAGGAAGAAGACACCATTCTGTTTTGACAGTTCCATTTCTCATGGTACTCGGGCCATGTCTACACTACAGAAATACGTTGACCTAATTTACATCAGTATACACCCACTGCAGTTACTAAATCGCTTGAGGTTCTCCACCTTTGCATTATATTGGGACTGTGGGACAGCTCCTGAAAGCCAGTAACCAACCGTCAACTTAAGCAAAGCAATGTATACACTGACATTGTGTCAACCTAATTACATTGACCAAGTCGCTGCACCATTCAGGGAGATGGTGTTTCTAAATCATGGTAGAGTGGCACTTACATCAGCAGGAGCCAGATTTAAGTGAAGACCCTTCGGGTATGTCTACACTACCACCCTAGTTCGAACTGGGGTGGTTAATGTAGGCAACCGAAGTTGCAAATGAAACCCGGGATTTGAATTTCCCGGGCTTCATTTGCATCTTGCCGGGCGCCGCCATTTTTAAATCCCCGCTAGTTCGGACTCCGTGCCCGCAGCTACACGCGGCACGGAGTAGGTAGTTCGGATTAGGCTTCCTATTCCGAACTACCGTTACTCCTCGTGGAACGAGGTGTACCGGTAGTTCGGCTTCCTAATCCGAACTCCCTCCTCCGTGCCACGTGTAGCCGCGGGCACGGAGTCCGAACTAGCGGGGATTTAAAAATGGCGGCGCCCGGCAAGATGCAAATGAAGCCCGGGAAATTCAAATCCCGGGTTTCATTTGCAACTTCGGTTGCCTACGTTAACCACCCTAGTTCGAACTAGGGTGGTAGTGTAGACATACCCTTCCACAGTTAGGTCAATGCAAGGCACTTTACATTGACCTAATCCTGTATTCTAGACCAGGCCTTAATGTCCTGGTGGGAGGACTTTCTGAGTACTCCCCTAGCATAGCTGCAGCGCTTCTTCTCTGGGATCTGATGAGCCTACTGCACAAGGTGGTACACCAGCTACTATCATAGTAGTCCTGTAATAACTGAAGGGGTAATTCCAAGAAATAATTTAAATGCAATACAGGCAGTCCCCGGGTTACGTACAAGATAGGGACTGTAGGTTTGTTCTTAAGTTGAATCTGTATGTAAGTCGGAACTGGCGTCCAGATTCAGCCGCTGCTGAAACTGATCATTTTCAACAGCAGCTGAATCTGGACGCCAGTTCTGACTTAAGAACCCCAGGCATCCCCAAGTCAGCTGCTGCTGAAACTGATCAGCGGCTGATTCCAGGAAGCCCGGGGCAGAGGCTTCCTGTAGTCAGCCACTGGTCAGTTTCAGCAGCGGCTGGCCTGGGGGCACCTGGGGCAGGGGCGCCGGGGGG